CAGATAAGCAGCCGGCTGTCAGAAACAGAGCTTTCAAAGGGCATATCCGCATTCCTGCTGTGATTCAAAACAAAAACGAGTGGCCACTTGATTTAAGGGGATTATGGGATGTTTCCGGAGGCCAATCAGAGCGCAGTAATGCAACACCTCGTTCACACTGGTGCCGCGGTGCTCCAGCGGGGGCGCAGCAAACGTTATTCCACTCACTGAGGTGAAGCACCAGCAGCGCTGTAGCCGCGGAGTCAGAGCGCTTTACGTGCCTTGCCAGTGTGGACGGGTAGTGAGCTAGTGCGCCCAGGGCTCCTTTATTGCACTGTAACTCGCAAGTGTAGCCAAGCCCTAAATGTTGAAAAGATTGAGATCTACTAGTTTTAAAATTGTTTCTGGTCACCATGTTCTTCACAATCACTTCAATTCACTATTGTTTAATACATCAGTTAATTTTCAATGCAAAACATGTTTTGATAAACTTCCTTTTTTTCTTATGTATCCAGCATATTTAAGATAGTTTTATTTAACTAATAAAAAAACAAATTTTAAATCTTTTTTGTGCATTACTTGACTTGCAATTTTCATCCAAGACTTTGACATTAATTTTTTATTTGTGATTTATCACCTAGTACAGGGGTTGGCAACGTCTGGCACGCGGCTCTCCAGGGTAAGCACCCTGGCGGGCCGGGCCAGTTTATTTACGTGCTGACGCAGCAGGTTCGGCCGATCGCGGCCCCCACTGGCCGCGGTTCGCCGTCCCAGGCCAATGGAGCATCGGGAAGCCACGGCTAGCACATCCCTCGCCCGCGCCGCTTCCCGCCGCCCGTATTGGCCTGGGACGGCGAACCGCGGGCAGTGGGGGCCGCGATCAGCCGAACCTGCCACGTCAGCAGGTAAATGAACTGGCCCGGCCTGCCAGGGTGCTTACTCTGGAGAGCCGCGTGCCAGAGGTTGCCGACCCCTGACGACCTAGTAAATAAGTACATAATAAAAACATGTAAATTAAAACTCTGAATAAATGTTAAGATATATAATTACTTAAATGTGTAGATATATTGTAACCACTTGGATAACCAAAAAAAAAAAGGAAGCAGCTATCTTTAGAAGAAAAATCTAAATCTTTAGGAAAATAACTAAAAAGTACAAATGCAAAACAATATTAAAATTGATGATTTTGAATTGGATCAAGGTTTCTTGCTTGCTGATTTAAATCATGATTCAAAGTAATTTAAATCAATCCACCTGATTGGCTTAGGGCCTGAAGTATGAGCATTCATATCCACTACTGAAAAAATATTATATATGATGTATCTTCTCATCATCCCTTTTGAAATCTTGCAAGCTCTTGGCCTCAGTGATTTCTTGTGTTAGTGAGTTCCAGAGGTGAATTATGCATCTTGATGTTTTTTTAATTCAAATATTTCACCTGGTTTAAATTTGTTCTTTCAGTTTTTTGAATGTTTGTTACCTTGTTCTCATGTTGTTAGAGAGGATAAATGGGAGTGCCCTGTCTACCCTTTCTCCGTGACTGCTGCAGTATGGTAGTTAATGTCTTGGACCTTCCACTCTAGTGACTTGTTGCTCTTTAATTTAACAGAGGGCCAGTTTGGACAAGGGTGGGTTGGTTGGTTGTTTTTGTTTTAAATAATTCCCTGTGGGACCACAAATGAATCCTGTTTTCTCTTCCTCTTCTTGCCCAACTTGAAGGGGTGGGGGGAGGAATCCTCCATTGGAGCTGCCCATTCCCTGTTGGAATCCATCTCTGTAACTTATATGAATGAAACTATGAATATACTTCAAAATAAAGAACTGAAAAAGTATGGAGATTCACACCTCTTTTCTATTATAGATTGCTCTTAGACACATTCTGCATGTTGCATCTCCTATCTATGTTCAAGGTGGGGGGATGGGAAGAATCTACAATGAAAAGTAATGGTCTAGTATTGTGACAGCTTTTCAACCATTACATTTCTCTGAGCTTTTAGTTCATCTTCCTATAATAGGCAGAGCTGGCAGTGCTGCCTGTAGTTAAGGTTGCCTAACAGTTTTCATTATAAAAACCTGTCTTCAGTTACTTATAACTTTGCTAGACTTTAACCATTTGGATAAAATTTCCAATACCAATGTTGGTTCAAGCTCATTTTAGAGGGAAAGTTTCAGCAAAAACGGTTCAGCCATTTCCAAGAACAAGGTTAGGGGAAAATGTTATTTTGCCAGTATTTTTTTAAAAAATACTTATTACCGTTTCACTGAGAAACTCTAGTACTTCCAAATTTTGGAGCAGTGACTAGAAATTTGGAAAGGAGATGACACTGGTGAATGAGAAATGACTTTTCTTTCCTCATGAAAATCTACCCAAATTTGGAAGAATTATTTGCCTCTGAAAATTGCACGTGATCAGTATAGGCATCTGAGTCTGAGAGCAAAATGCTTACACAGTATAGTATAATGTTTGGAGACTGCTGCTTCACCATTCTTTGTGCCAGTTATACTGAGCATGCTCCATCCTGGGGCTGAGCAGGACCTCTACAGTTGCTGCTCCTGGCAGCTGTAGACCACTGTGGCACCATGTACCAGAATTGAGAGTAGGGAGAGACTCTCCTGTGCTGGCCATGCTCCCCCTGATGGTATTCTGGCACCATGGAAGAGAACACCCACATTCAAATGAAGAAGAGTGAAAAGTTTTTATTAGGGGGCAGAGGCATGGTTCCAGCTTACAGGGAATTAAAATCAACAAATGGGGCGGGTTTGCATCAAGGAGAAACACACACAACTGTCACACTGAAGCCCGGCCAGTCATGAAACTGGTTTTCAAATGCAAGCGCGTCTTGCTGTGCTCTTCTAATCGCAAACAGCCTAGTCAGCAAACAGCGCCAGCGAGCTTTTAAATGTCCACCATTCTACCACCATTCTGCACTTGCTCAGCCTATAGTTGAACTGCTCCTTACTACTGTCCAAGCTTCATAAGCCATGGGAGCAAGTGGTAGGCTGGGGTAGGTGTGACGAAACTTAAAGAAGAGAATGACCTGGAGTCACTCCCATTTATGTCCAGTGCCCCTGACAGACCTCACCGAGGTCTGCCAGGAGCACCCAGGAGACGACTATGACGGCTAGCAGTCGTATTGCACTGTCTGCTGCCACAAAGGCAAGGAGCTGCTGCTGCTGTGTAGCAATGCAGTACCACATCTGCCAGCAGCACCCAGTAGACATATGGTGACGGTGAGCTGAGTGGGCTCCATGCTTACTGTGGTATGTCGTCTGCACGGGTAAGCCAGGAAAAAAGGCGAGAAATGATTATTTGCCGTTGCTTTCACGGAGGGAGGGGGGCCCGACGACATGTACCCAAAACCACCCGCGACAATGTTTTTGCCCTGTCAGGCATTGGGAGCTCAACCCAGAATTCCAATGGGCGGCGGAGACTGCAGGAACTGTGGGATAGCTACCCACAGTGCAACGCTCCGAAAGTTGACGCTAGCCTCAGTACTGTGGACGCACTCCGCCGACTTAATGCGCTTAGTGTGGACACACACCATCAACTGTATAAAATCTATTTCTAAAAAATCAACTTCTATAAAATCGACCTAATTTCGTAGTGTAGACATACCCTTAGTTACAGGGGTATACACCAATGTAAAAGTTTGCCATTCCATTATAACAAGATAAGTGAACACAATACAAGTAACATTCCACTAGTTTTCATGAAGTTTAAACATCTGAATACACACTTATACATTTAACCCTTTGATCTATACTAACACTCAAGTGAATTGGTCGGGGTTCAGACCTGAGCTGACACCTGGCTTGCCAATGTTGCAGATACCATCTTTAATTACAAGAACACATCACACTATTTTTTTTCCATCAACCCCATCTTCTTTCAGTTTATGGGATGAACAGTGTTTCAGGGTTTTGTGTAGTGAATGAGACTGTGTTTTCTTTAGAACCCCTGCCTCAGGGTGGAGGGATAGCTCGGTGGTTTGAGCATTGGCCTGCTAAAGCCAGGGTTGTGAGTTCAATCCTTGAGGGGGCCACTTCGGGATCTGGGTCAAAATCAGTACTTGGTCCTGCTAGTGAAGGCAGGGGGCTGGACTCCATGACCTTTCAAGGTCCCTTCCAGTTCTAGGAGTTAGGATATCTCCATTTATTTAAAAAAAAAAAATTGTTGAAGAAGTTGGAAGGTGTGTAGCTAATGAACCATGGGATTTAGGAAAGGATAGTTTGTGGTTAAGGCAGTTGAAGCCACCCTGGAGAATTTAATTCTATCTCTGCCTCTGCCACAGAATTCCTATGTGATTTTGGGCAAGTCCCTTAAAACAAATTTTTACAGTTGACGGCAAATTGAGTGTTCGGTTTTTTTGTTTTTTTTTTTGAGTTCCTAACTTGAGACATGTGACCTGATTTGTAGAAGTGCTCATCAAGTCCCTTCTGGGCCTTGAAATCTGTGAATCTATTGGATCTCTGGGAGGGGAGCATTGCACCACAGAGACAACTTTCCATTCTCTCATCCCCCACTTGTACCCCAAGATTGAAAAAGCAAAAGAAATCCCCCCCTCCTTTTTTTTTTTTAATTTCATCGTGGAACCTTGGTAGACTAATTCTACCACAAAATGGTGAGTCTAATAATGTTTACATGCCCTAAATAAAACAGTATCAAATATGTGCATCCACATGGAAATGTGTGTTTCAGAAGTAAAGTTTGTCTAGAGTTGGCTACATTCATTTATATAGCTCTCGGTTCAAGGAGCGTTGTGGATGTAAAACTGAAGGGAATAATTAAAATTTAAATATGTCTTCAATGCTTACTGGGCCATACCTCACACAATACTGCACATTGTGGTGTGAAGAGCATACTGGATTCACCCACTCAGTAGTTAAGGGGTTAATTTCAGAATAGTTCCCTGCTTCTGAAGAAAAATATGTAATTGATATGTAGCTATTGCACCAGTTGTGAACCAACTTTGAAAAATATGATGTATATGGACTTTTTTTTTTTTTTAAATAAATTGCAGGTTCTTCAGCAAAAGCACTTGTGAGCTTGAAAGGTAAGAAATAAATACAATGTATTCTTTAGGTGTGGTATAAATGAGAGATGTAAATTGACTTCAGATCATAACTGGAGTTTTTGGTTTCAGAAAGCCTCTCCAAAGGAAAATTATGAAGATAGGTTTTTATAAAATATATGCTGATTGTTTTATTTTAGATATCTGTAGACTGAGTAGTTTGGTACTCACTAGTCAAACTCTACTTATATTGCAGCTTCTTTGGATGCTGCTTTTGAGAATGAGACCCTTTGGAGTGCCATTTCTGAAATAGGTGCTTCCACTTTAAGTACTGCCTAGGCATCAGGTCTGACATGAAATTTGAGGTAATTTTTCCTTTCTTGGGGGTGAGATAGAAGGATTATTATCAGTGGGACCTTTACTTATGATGGAATTTATATTGTAAAGGAAATTTGTAATCTCACTGTCTTCTACCAATAACTAGTGGACCAACGCAACAGAGCTATTGCTTTATATTATTTTAACACTGGAGAAAAATTCTATTTGTGCATATTGCATTAACATTTAGCATCCTTCCACTCTTCCTAGTGCCAGAAATGTTATGTATTATAAAGTCCCCATTTACATTGGGGAGAAAACCTGTTTACTGAACCAGTTTTAAACGGTCTAAATTTTGGTGCAGGCAATTTAGATCACTCAGTTTTATTGTGCAGCACACGTCCATTCAAAAATCATTTTCTAGAGCACATTTTGTAAGCAGTCATGCTAGGCAAATTGTGTTTATAGCCTAAAAAGTTCTAAACTGTTTAAAAACAATTTTGCTAATACCATTTTATTCCCAGCATAGATTTAAAAGCTATTTTATGGCAAATGGAATGCCTAAGCATACTAATTTCACACTGACATGTTCAAAATGGATTCCAGATGTTTGCTGGAATACCGTCTGTGGAAGAAATAAATTCTATAGTCAAATATCTTCTGGAAGAGCTTAACTTTAAAGGGAAAATGTCAATTAGTTACAGGCCAAATATTTATCTGTCTTAAAATTATTATAATTTAGATGGGAAATGTTCTCTGAATTCTGAATCATAGAACATCAGGGTTGGAAGGGACCTCAGGAGATCTAGTCCAACCCCCTGCTCAAAGCAGGACCAATCTCCAACTAAATCATCCCGGCCAGGGCTTTGTCAAGCCTGACCTTAAAAACCTCTAAGGAAGGAGATTCCACCACCTCCCCAGGTAACCCATTCCAGTGCTTCACCACCACCTAGTGAAAAAGTTTTTTCCTAATATCCAACCTAAACTCCCCTACTGCAACTTGAGACCATTGCACCTTGTTCTGTCATCTGCCACCACTGAGAACAGTCTAGATCCATCCATCTGGAGTCAGGAGATCCTGGAGAACCCTGGCTTCCATTTCAAACTTTAATATGTTTTAGCCCTGGGGGCTGGGACGTGAAGTTGGAGCCAGGCGAGCTCACAGCTCCAGAAGGACGAGCTGTGTGTTAGCATTTCCAAGCTGGCAGTTTTCAGCCACTCTCATGGTTTGCAGAGTCTGATGTGATTTTCACCCCCCGGCACTGCACACACCTGCTCCAGACCCCGGCAGGGCAGGCACCAGCCCAGGGCGGGGCATTGATGAGCAGTGTTTCCCTGGCACCACAGCCCCGAGAGGGGAGGAGCAGAGAGCACAGCCCCGGGCAAAGGCAGCCACTGCAGGGCCCTGGTTCAAAGCCAGGCCCAGCACACTGCACGTGGCAGGGGCTGGGGCTCCCCCTCGGCCATGCTGTCTCCTCGCCCCCACCAGCCAAGCGCCATCTCAGCTCCACTCCTGCTGCTGGAGCTAATTAGCGAGCACTCAGCGTGCAGCCTGGGAAAGTTCACCGGCGAGGGGGGCTGTAATCCGGCTGCTGAGCCCAGTGCCCCAGCAGCCTCTCGCTAACGGGCCCTTCGAACGGGACACGGACCCGCCCGGCCTCAGGCACACCTGTGCCCCACGCTGAGCCACCACAGACCCCCATGGCACAGCACCAGCGGGGCTATCAGCACCTGACCGGCAGCTCATTAACCCCTCTGCTGCCGAGGGAAGCTGCCAGCTCCCATGGAAGGAGCCCTGCCATGGCAGCTAATCCCCCAGATCCGCTGGCTTTCTCTCCTATCAGTCTCGGTTCCTGCCCAGCCCCGTCAGTGGGCTAGCTGAATCCCACATAGCCAGCCCTACGGAGGGGCATATAGGGCCAGATCCCACTGGGTGTAAGGCAACACAGCAAACACCGCGGGAGGCTGATTCACACCAGCTGAGGATCTGACCCTTTGTCAATACTCTGCCCTCACACAACAGAGCAGGAAACCCCAATCCTGCCCCAGGGGTGCTGTGCCTGGCTCTTCCTGCCCCAGCCTAGCTGACCCAGGGGCCGGCGTGTGCTGGGGGATAACAGCCCACCCCACCCCACCCTCCCGGGATCAGTGATTTACCAGCCTTTATTTCTTTAAAAATAAATGCACCTTTCTGTCCTATAGAAATGTAAGTAATAAAACAATGCCCTCACCATTCATTATATAAGGCCCACAGTATATTAAATGGTGCTTCAAAAGTTAACAAACTATATTCCAAGAGCTATTATGCTGTCCTAATTGATGAGCATAAACAAGGTAATAGTGGAAATATACAGAAAGATGCCTCTCCTTTGTATGTGACTAAAGATACCATCTGTGCAGGAGTATCACTCCTGGATCTCAGTTTTCTAGTGTCGGATAGGTAGAATTTCCAACATTTGGAAGATTATTTTTTGGCCCCCAAAGGAGTGTGGTAGAAGATAGAAGCATGAATCAGAATCCTACTCCTCCTTTACTAGTGATGCATGATCAACAATTTGTGTGGGGAGACAGAGGGCCTGGCTCATTCTCCTTCCTGTTACCAGTGCCCTTGTTGAGTCAAAATTTTCAGAGCTTGGTAAGACCTATTTTTAAAAGGTCTTTTGAACAAAAGACTTATCTGTATAAACTGGCTTTATACACCCCTTCCTCGATATAATGCTGTCCTCGGGAGCCAAAAAATCTTATCGCGTTATAGGTGAAACCGCGTTGTATTGAACTTGCTTTGATCCACCGGATTGCGCAGCCCCGCCCCCCCGGAGCGCTGCTTTACCGCGTTATATCCGAATTTGTGTTATATTGGGTCGCGTTATATCGAGGTAGAGGTGTATTCCAACATGGTTCTGTGGTAGCTGCAACATAGCTATCCAGATGGGTGTCACAAGGGAGTTGAAGCTAGATGGACTTCATGAGAGACAAATGTGGTGGGAAGAAATGGTCTGAATGTCTCTTATAGCCTGGTTAGTGGAGGCATTCACCATAATTGGCTGAAGATGATGGAATTTTAAACCCATTTGCATTGCCATTTAGGAAGGCATTACAAACAGTGAAGGGGGAAAAAAACATTAAAGTAGTGTTTGAGAGTATACTGCTGCCATTTCGACAATAGTTAGATTAAAAAATGCATTAATAATATGTCACTGTTCATGACAGAGGGAAGTTTATCCAGCACATGGAATGAAAAGTACAGTTCTCTACAGAAAACACCTATTTGGAAAAGCAAGAACGCTGGTTCTGCTGTAGAAATGGTAAGAAGTAAATCTTTATATGCTTGTGATTTAAAAAAAAGTCAATTAAGTTTAGGGTTCATGTAGTAACGGCATAAAATCATTCATATTCACAGATCAAGTGATCTGCTTTAAAATGTATTTATTTCATAATTTGTGAATATCCTTTGAGTAAAGCAATGTACACAACTCTAATGTGAAATGAAAGCATGTTTTATAAATAAATAAATATGAAAATTAAATTGGTAACCAGTTTCAAGTTTTAATGAACCATTTTTAATGATTTGCTACTTTTTTACAAGTGTTTATATGGAATGTGTTTATTGTGTCTGTACTATAAAGAGCATAAGAATTGACACTCCTGATCAGACCATCTGATCTGCCTAGTCTAATATTCTGCCTCTGGCAGTGGAGGGTTATTGGTGCTTTAGGAAAAGGTGGGAAAATCCTATAATGCACTTACATTATTGTTCCATTCTATGGGGGATGTTCTAATAAAAATGAATGCATAGAAGTAGAGTTTTCTGCAACATCATTCGGGGGGGGGAGGGGAATATTGGGAGAAGTTAAGTTAAAAAAGAACTGCTATTTAAAACAAAAAAGCAAAACTGCTTTTATGAAATGTTTTGCAGCCTATAAGGTGATTTCCCTTTTCTTTTGATCTGACCACATCTTGCGCTCTTTAAATCTTCTCCATTGCATCAAGTTGAAGCTTCTTGTGATCACCATCAACTTCCTATATAACCTACTTATTTTGTTGTGTACAGCATTGTCTCCTAGCCCCTCTGAGTTGGCAAAGTTCATTCTGCCAGTGTTATCAATCTTGAGTCCCTGTTTGTCCGCTTTACCGTTTGTGTCTGTGCTTTTTCCATGGCACCCTCTCCCATATACACAGAACAGCCTCTTCTCTCTGAACTCTCTCCTGAAGACCACTTCTTTCATAACTACCACAAGAAACTAGCTGACTAAATTATTTATTTATTTGTTTGTTTGTTTTATTTTATGAGTGAACTGCTCATTTATCTTGAGGGAAGTGATGTATTGTTAAGAGGAATTCTGTTCAATTCTATGTAGATACTTATACCACTCTTCCCATCATAGTAGGTCAAAAAATGCACCTTATTCTTGGAATGGAAAGTGATGAGGTTTGTGATAGTCCTTAGTTCCAGGGGAAGTTCAATCCACAGTCTCAGGCTGGTCCCTGAAGAAGCTGTGTCTCCTGCACAGATGAACTTTGCACTTATTGTGGAAAGTACCATTGTACCAGATGAGCAAAGTTGTTGACCCTGATTGTCATCCTGGGGCTTCAGGTGAACTTTTAGATATCCTGGATCCAGGCCCTTGAACACCTAAGAAGAAAAGGACTGAGACCTTGAACTTGACTCAGTATTCTATGGAAGGTCAGTGTAGAAAGCAGAGAACAGGTTTGATGTGCTCACAGTAGCCTGTGTTGCAGAGGAGATGTGCTGCAGCATTCTGTACTAGTTACAGTTTCCTAAGTACTGAAGGGTTCATGCCAACAACATAGTTCAGTTGAGAGGTGATGAAGGTATCCATAATAATTGAGGTCAGGTTGTCTTCCTCCAGGATGAGATGGAGTTTCCTTGCCGACCAAAGATGGTAGAAAGCATTACTCACAAATGCTGTTACGCAAGAGCTTAACAGCAGTGAGGAATCAAAGATGACTCCTAAACTATTAACTGAATTAACCAATGGTGGGTGTGTGCCATCAACCAAAGGAAACTGCATTATGACTGCAAACTCTTAAATGCTTTCCTCTGTCCATCAGCATAACTTCTGTCTTGGTCAGGTTCACCATCAACCAGCTGTTCTTCATCCATTAGCTAATCTCATCCAAGCACTGGGACATCTTGGTGATAGTTAGGGCCCTACCAAATTCACGGTCATGAAAAACGCGTCACAGACCGTGAAATCCAGTCTCCCCCTGTGAAATCTGGTCTTTTTGTGTGCTTTTACCCTATACTATACAGATTTCATAGGGGAGACCAGCATTTCTCAAACTGGGGGTCCTGACCCAAAAGGGAGTTGCAGGGGGGGGTCACAAGATTATTTTAGGGGGGGGGTCACAGTATTGCCACCCTTACTTCTGAACTGCCTTCAGAGCTGGGCAGCCGGAGAGGGGCGGCTGTTGGCCAGGTGCCCAGCTCTGAAAACAGCACCCCGCCAGCAGCAGTACAAAAGTAAGGGTGGCAACACCATACCATGCCACCCTTACTTCTGCACTGCTGCCTTCAGAGCTGGGTGGCCAGAGAATGGCAGCTGCTGACTGAGGGCCCAGCTCTGCAGGCAGAAGCACAAAATAAGGGTGGCAATACCGTACCATGCCATCTTTACTTCTGTGCTGCTGCTGGCAGTGACTCTGCCTTCAGAGCGGGCTTCCGGCCAGCAGCCACCACTCTCCAGCTGCCCAGTTCTGAAAGCAGTGCTGCCGTCCGCCTCAGTGCAGAAGTAAGGGTAGCAGTGCCGCAAACACCACCCCTCCCCCCCACAATAACCCCTTCGACCACCCCACAACTCCTTTTTGGGTCAGGATCCTTACAATTACAACACCATGAAATTTCAGATAGATATATATAGTTGAAATCATTAAATTAACAATTTTTAAAATCCTATGACCATGAAATTGACCAAAATGGACCATGAATTTGGTAGGGCCCTAGTGATAGTGGTATGGTCATATTTGATGATAAATAGAACTGTGTGTCATCTGCATATTGCTGGCACTTGAGTTAATATTAATACCCCTTTTGACCTGAGGGCTAGCCAAAAATTTGGGGTATACTAGGTTGTTCCAGTTAAGAAGAAAAATTGGTGATAGGTGTTTCTTAGGCCTTGACTATGCTGCTGCTTAGTGCTGAAACTTTCCTCGATCAAGGGTGTGAAAACTGTAAAGTGGCAGTGTAGATAGTGCTACAGCGCTGGGAGCCACTTCCCTTGTGGGAGTGGTGTGTTGTTGTTGTTTTTTAACAGCGCTGGGAGAGCTCTCTCCCAGTGCTGGAGCTGCGACTACACCGCAACTGTGTAGACAAAGCCTCAGATGTAGTTTCTGTTTATTTACAAAGAATGTACTTTGTCCCTGAACACCGAAGGAATCAAATAGCAGGAAACAGCTTTTTTGGCTCTCAGCACCAAGGACACTTTTTTGTCAGCCAACACCTCTGAGCCAAAGAACCACTCTCCAGGTTTCATTCAGGGTCACACACTGTTTTCAGCTGCTCCTACAGGCTAGCTCTCTGGTCCTCAGTGTTCTGCCTACTAACTCACTCACTCACAGACTGACTTACCCAGCTAAGGCCCTCCACTCACACAAAACTCCTGGGTGTGTTCACAAAACCCTTTTATCTTAGGTAAGGACTTGTGATTCATTTATCCTTACAGTTATGTTAACTGAAGGGTGAGTTCACACTCCTCAATCTCCGATTGATTTTAATTTTGAAGTTTTAAATTGACCCATAAAAGGTTTCACCCAACTCATAACAGTATCATCTGACCAGTTTACCTGATGGCTGCATGTACTTGTTGAATAGGATTGGAGAAAAAATTGATCCTTGTGGACTCCACAAGTGAAAGGTCTAGTGGTGGAAGTACAACTTCCCATTACTATTCATTGGGTCAAGTATCAGAGGGGTAGCCGTGTTAGTCTGGATCTGTAAAAAGCGACAAAGAGTCCTCTGGCACCTTATAGACTAACAGACGTATTGGAGCATAAGCTTTCGTGGGTCAGTACCCACTTCGTCAGACGCATGTGGTGGAAATTTCCAGAGGCAGGTATAAATATGCAGGCAAGAATCAGTCTAGAGATAACGAGGTTAGTTCAATCAGGGAGGATGAGGCCCTCTTTTAGCAGTTGAGTTGTTTAATCCCTACGTAAAAGGATAAATGGACACAAATCAGATATTAGGAATGGCAATATACAAAAACCTGTAGGAGAACACTTCAATCTCCCTGGACACACAATAGCAGATTTAAAGGTAGCCATCCTACAGCAAAAAAACTTCAGGACTAGACTCCAAAAAGAAACTGCTGAACTTCAGTTCATTTGCAAATTTGACACCATCAGCTCAGGATTAAACAAAGACTGTGAATGGCTAGCCAACTACAAAAGCAGTTTCTCCTCCCTAGGTGTTCACACCTCAACTGCTAGAAGAGGGCCTCATCCTCCCTGATTGAACTAACCTCATTATCTCTAGACTGATTCTTGCCTGCATATTCATACCTGCCTCTGGAAATTTCCACCACATGCATCTTTCGTGGGTGAATACCCACTTCACCAGCTTATGCTCCAATATTTCTGTTAGTCTATAAGGTTCCACAGGACTCTTTGTCACTTTATTCATTGGGTGTGTCCCTTTAGGAAAGACACAAACCACTGTATTATGTTGGACTCCTGCCAGCTCTCTTCAGCAAGACAGCAGTATCTGATGGTCAGCAGTGTCATATGCTGCAGAGAGATCATAAAAGATGAGAATGGATGTCTGCCCTCTTATCTATTGATAGCAGGAGATCATCTATCACTGCCACTAAAGTAGTTTAGGTTCCATATCCTGGCCAGAATCCAGATTCTGCCAGGTCTAGAATATTAGCTTCAATTAGGCAAGGTTGAAGTTGGCCAGTGGCTAGCTTCTCTCTGAATTTGCTCAGGAACAGGAAGTTTGACAATGGGTAGCGGATGGCTAAAGCCAGTATATCCAGAGTGGGTTTCTTCAGTGTTGGTCAGACTATTGCATATTTGAAGGAGGAAAGAAAAGTTCCTTCCCTGAATGAGTCATTGGCTCTTTCAGTCATGAGAGACCTCTGTTGCTCGTGCCTCTCTTTCACAAGCCAGGAAAGATGAGTCAGATTCACGGGTCTTGAGTCGAGACCCCTTTAGGGTGTCCAGAATTTCTCGATGAGTGAGTGTACTGAACTCCACGTGGGAGGATTATTAGTTGGTGAGTGTAGGCAAAGCAGATCCAAGCTGTTTGAGAATCCTTCTCAAATATGCACAATATTTTAAGCAAAGCATGATGATAGTTCGCAGCATTCCGCGCCCTGTTCTGATGCAGGCTTCTAGACACTCAGAACTGAGGAAACCGTTTATCACCCTGGACAGCTCCTTGGGGCAAGATTTGTCAGCATTAGTGGAAGGTGGTGATAGAAAGGTTCTCTTGGTCTGGAATACAGCCTCAGCATAGTAATGTTGCCAGTTTGGATTGGATGTATTCCTGGAGGTTTCATCACATGACATAGTCTCTAATTAAAGATTCATCTTTAATTCCCGGAGACTCCAGGACAATCCTTGAGGGTTGACAACCCTATAAAACTTGGAGGAATTTGTTGTTTCATCTGGTCTGTATCAACCTTTGTTTTCTGCCATTGGCCCTCGAGTTTCTGCCTCTTTCTTTATCTGGCACAGGGTGTCAGAAAACCAAGGAAATCAGTGACATCTGAATCCAGCTCAATCTCTTCCTCTGTAAGTAGTTTGCATTCTAGGAGAAGCTAGCCGGGTTAAGTCCCTGTGCTAGGCAGAGTGCAGGGACTGGCTCCTGTATTGGGTCACAAGGTGTGTGAGAAGGAAGCTCTTTGCACTCATCACTCCCATGTGAGATGCAATTTGTCATTCAGTCTTCAATTAGGACAATTTTCTTTGACATATGAAGAAATTTTGTTAAGAAATAACTAAAATTTAAGTGTGAAAACTTCATGCCACAAATTTGCAATCTATGATTTTCTACTTTTTTTCAGCAGCCTCCACTAATTTTATTGCAACTGTAGTATCATAGCACAGTAAAGGGTTACAGTTAGCATTGAACAGCCTTAAATTTTAGATTCCTTCCTCTCTTATGTTAGATCTTTACATAATTTGAACATTGTTTATGATGGTTCAATTTCCTCAGTTTCTTAACATTTTAGGGTGTGGGGGAAGTTTTTATGGTAGGAGTTTTAAAAATTATCAAAATATTTTGATACATAAGTGATCCTTGAAACATCATCATGAAGTGTTTTGTAATAATCTAAAGTGTGACACCATTATGGATGACATTACATACAGACACATCCATTACAGTGCTGGGCAGCAGCACACATTAAAAATACTAGTAGATTAATTTATTTCTGTAAGTAACTGTTCTATCCAGCTTGGCTTTTTAATGAGAATTTATCAAAATCAATGAATAGATTGTTTGAAGGCCCTTCCTTTTTATTTTTAAGTCAAGGGCAAGCTGTTTAAAAGAGGTTTTATAAACAAAGAAATAATTAAATGAATGGATCTTTGACCATAACTGTGTTACCTTGGACACTTGAAGTGCCTCCTATCTAGATAGCAAAGGAAAATAGATTATATTTGTGTTATCATGGGTTCTGTATATCAAAAGAAGAAATTAGCTTTTTCATTTAATTGCTTCCTAATTTTGATATATGTAGCCCTTCAGAAATTCAAAACGGAGTCGTCTCTTTTGTGAAGAAGACGACAGACAGTTAAATACAAGGTCTCCCAAAAGAAATCAGAAGATTGCAATGGTTCCACAGGTATGTATGTGTTATGCAGAGACCATTACCAGAAAGGAAAGCAATCCTTTAAAATAAATTGTGTTTTCTTCTCAATTTACGTCATAAGTTTATGAATTTGGGGTGGGGGGGACCTATTCCTAGGTGTGGCTCAAAATAGATTAATACATCCTTTTTCCTCCCCACAAGTGAGTCCCTCACTGACACAGCTCTGTTCATGCTGATCCTGTACCATAGAGTCTATCGGGGAAAATGCTGACTGGTGCTCCACCATACCTAAGCACAGGCAGAACTATTGGAACACTCATCCTATTAGGAGACTCTACTGTATCAGGCAGAGTGGGGAACACTGACTAAATGGACCCAGCAATGTAGGAGCTGCCATGACGTTAAAAAAAAAAGACCACCAGGAGCTGCAGGCACCTTATGTTGCCACTGTAACTGCCTGTTGAAAGATAGTTCTTGTCGTGTAGATAGGACCTAACATCTTGTCCTTACTATAGCTTGTAAAACCGTTTTCAAACACAACCTAACATGGTTTGTGTCCACACCAAGCATGGTTATCAGTTATTAAAAACTTATTCAGAAACTGTGCTCAAGGAGGCCTTGTCTATATTATGCTTATTTCATTCAAATTTCTGGTTGTTTGAGTGATGGTAGCACTTTAGCCAGCATGTTCATGTAGCCGTGCATGGAGCAAAGTTAGATTAACCTTAAAACATCAGAGGTTACCTTGAGTCCTGTCTATATGAGTGCCGCCGCCGCCACCACCACCACTGGAGCTGAACTGCTGGTGGGAAATGTTCACAAAAAAGCCTAGTGTAGAGACTCTGACCAGCTAATAGTTTGGGGCATGATCTCTGCTAGCTCTTGGCATCAGTTGTGTGTTTTATTGTATAGTTATAATCTTTGCCATTTTATATTAGTATTATCTTTGTAATAAAAATTAAAGAAACCATGGAACAATACATTTTGAATTAAAACATTGCAGTTGCTAATGTATTCATTTTTATCAAGAAAATGAACTTTGCTTATCTAGTTAAAGAATTTTGAATATTTAATAAACAATTGAAGAATTTGAGAAGGCTCCTGTTTGTTTGATTCATTGTACTGTTTAGCACATTTAATGCTGCAAATGCTTTCATTTTCACTTTGGAAGTTCAGCTGCTAGTAACCTCTCCTTTATTTTATTGCTTAGAAGTTTACTGCAACAATGCCAACGCCAGACAAGAAAGCATCACAGAAGATTGGATTACGGTTACGTAATCTACTCAAACTTCCCAAAGCACACAAATGGTGCATATATGAATGGTTCTACTCAAATATAGATAAGTATGTACTATTTCTTTATGTATTATTTTTATTTATTACTGTAGAAACTAAAGTTACTCCCTGGAATGGACACTTTCTCACAGTGGGGCAACCTTTGGGTTCCTGATTGCCCAAGAATGTGAAGGGGATGCTGAGTGGCTGGAGTTCGCTTCACTGGGATCCTCTTTTTCCCCAAGCCCTACCAGTTTTATCAGTTCCAAGTCAGCTCTACCCTGGGTCTCCAAGGTTCCTTCCAACAAGTGATCAGCCCAACACTTCTACAAAGGATTCCCCATCCTGGCATAGGATGACTGGATAAGCAAGTCTTGGGGGCAGTCCTACCAGTAGAGATCTACTGTCAGCTCAACCTGCTGGATGGAGTAAACTTCACATACCCATGGACACAATGTGGGGGGAAAAAAATAGTTCTCTGGGGACCTTCTCTGAGCCAATCAGCTGGTCGCAGACCAAAGTCTGGCTGTCAGTGACCGGGATGTGGGCAGTTATGCCTAGTGGTCAGAGCAGGAGTCAAGTATAATAGTTGGCGAAGGAGTCGATAACCAGAAATTAGAGTGCACGGTCAGAGCTGGAGTCAGAAGCCAGATATCCGAGCCTCAGGTCAGGGCCAGAGGCAGGACTTGGAGCCCAGAGTTAGAATCGGGTTACCTGGAGTGAGGCAACACAGGAGCAGGGGTGGGTCCAGGCAGGAGCTATCGCAGCTGTGGGTAAATCCTTTGAATAGATGTTGAACTGCTCTACCTCTGCTCAAGAGCGGGTCTGCTCACCCTTTCAGCCAATCAGGCAGTGTAGCCAATCAGTTAGTCTACTACAGTAAAAGGAACTCATTAGATTACCCAGAGTCTGGCTCTGCTGCAGGGCCTAATTCCTGATCCTGGTTACACCTCAAGTCCAACATCTCCACCACTTCCATTAAATTGCAGATGAATGGAGTCTGGCTGTGCTTGCGGCCCACAGTCCACACCTCATCATATGCACAGTCCATAGAGCCCCTGTCATGTTGGGCGGTTGTTGTTTCATCTGCGCCTTCTGCATCAATCTCTGCCAGATAAGGACCACTTGCATCTGCCACTGCGGCTGTGCTATCTGCTGCAACAACTGCAGTTGTCCCTCTTGGAAATGGGTTCAGATCTGACTGGCTTCTAGACTCCGCCTCCCCCTTGTTAAGGGGGGTAAGGGATTTATTTATTTATTTATTTTTAATGTCACATAATGTCACACCCTTTAGTGGGGCTGCAGAGATGCCTACGTTCTCCATCACTTGTGGCAAGGTGACTTACCAGCTGGGGGCCACTTTGTGGCTAGGAGCAGCATTGCTGGGTTTTGTTCTTTGTAGTCCTGCTGCCAAAGTCTGATATTGGTCCCCTCTTGCCTTGTGATGTGGCCCCCTTTGGTCTCACTCTTTTTGGCATAAATCAGGGTTTTCACCCAGTAGTCCCAGGCCTTCACACCAGGTTGACAGTCCTGGCCCAGGTCCAATAGTCCTTCTGGGCCCTTGTGCCTGGGGTCTTCTGGCTAGTCCTCATGGTGAGGCTGTAGGGGAATTCAGTCCCTCCCTCTACCCTAGGTTCCAGCTGAGGGACCCTTGCGGCAAGTGGTTGCAAGCAGTTAAGGTCTGTCTCATCAGACCTCTTGTTTCTTCCCTGAGCTGCTTCCTACAATGCGGCCACCTTCTCCTCAGAGGGCTCATATTCACAACCCCCTAGTCTCAGTCCTCAAGGTAACAATGGAAGAGAAAATAAATTAACAGAAATAAAGAGCTCTTCCAGCTTCTGTGCCCCACCTGGATCTTCCAGCTGTTTGTCCTGCTTTTCTGTGTTCACAGTCAATATAGCTTGGTTCTCTGTCATGGGAACTGAGGATTACAGGTCTGTCCACCGCTCCAGGCTGGGCCTTCTGAATTGAAAAGGGAGAAATTCAGGTCTTCTCCTCCAAGATTGGCATACCTCGGCAGGGGCAGTGGGGCAGAGCTGCGTGAGCCCAAAGCTGCTCTTTAACCCCTTCTTGCCTACTGTGTGGTTTGTATATCCTGTCACAGATTTGTAACAGTTCAAATCTAAATGCGAGACCATTGGAAAATTAGTCAGTAGCAGCTTAGAGTGTTGTTCAAAAACTGGTGTGACCCAGCAGTGAAACTAGCAACCCACCATAGGAAAACAAGCCAGAACAATGCTTTGCCACTTTTTATTTTAAAAGATCATATCGTTGTTAACCAATATTTTTCCTTACATTTATGTATCCTGAACAAATGCTATTCCAATGTTCAATCAGAATAGCTTCTGTCAGGATTGTTGAGACAATATTCTCTGTACTCAGCAGTCAGGCACAGCAGAGGAAAAGAATTATTTATATGCCTGTCATAGGTATAAAAATTACTTATTTAATTTGCTTTAAATTCTCAGCATACAGGGTTGTTGGTTTTTTTTCCCAACAAATGGTCTTGTTAAATGTGTTACTGGGAACAAATTACTGTTATATTTTTGCATAAGTAACATTTGTATTCCACCATCCTTGACAATGACCCTGTAAGAACTTTTAGCTTATACTAGTAATAATAATGTATATCATTGTTCAGTCCATTAGTTAACTGAAATGTGAGGTATGTAGTAGATAATTCCCAAAGTCTCCTAGCTCTGAAAATGGTGATTATCAAAGTAAATTTGTCACCATTTGAAATAAATACTACTAAGATATATGACCATCCTGTAAACTTATTAGTGCCTCAATTGTAGTTTTAGAAACAACTTATCTTTTAACAAACTTTCTAGAATGAGCTATTTTGTTATGAATGATATTATCTAGACCTTTCTTTTACATAATAAATACTAATATAAATATTTTATATGAAGCAAGAATTAGAAATTGCACAGATGTCTTTGTCAAGTACCAATACGTTACTCAGTATACAACCATTGTTAGTTATTTTAATCTAACCATTGTAAAATATTTTAATCCAATTTAAATGGCTACATCAATTTAAAAATCATATTTGTTTGAAAATTTTTACTTTTTATTGATACAAGAAACACCTAAGATTACAATAACTCAGTGGTTCTCAGTTTTTTCATACCATCCATGACCCCACATTACAATAAATAACCCTTTCCTTCTAACCATAGAAAAAAGCAGGGTAGTCTCAGCCCTTTTGGACCTATTTGTGACCCCAAGTTGAGAATCCATGCTATATTTGAAAGAGATTAGAATAAAAAAATATATTTTTCTTTCTCAATTTATTTACTTAGTGCATATGACAGCACCTTGTGCATAGACATTTTCACACCTCTTTTGTGTAAGTCACTCATTTTCCTCTAAAATCTCACTCCTTTACTGTGATTTGTGCAGGTGGACTGCTGCACTTGTATGGAGTCTCGCTGACTTCAGTGGGGATCCACCCAGATTTAACAATCCATGTGCATGGGTCACAATGCACGTTCAGGGCCTCCGTTTCTGTGGGTTTTCCCCACACAGCAACAAGGGAGAGAAACATTTTAAAAAGAGAGAAAATGTGATTTCATTGTAACCCATATATATTGGTAGGAGGATTCAAGTGCAAATGTAGCTCCTAAAACTATTTTGTACACTTTTTTTTTTTTTAATTGACTTAATTTCAAGTTGATAAAGTATAAATTCCTCTGCAAGGAACACTAACATTTTCAATAACTTTGTTCCACACATTTCTTGTGAGGATGGAGATTTCTTAGTTCCTCATGACAGATGTTTTCTGGATGTAGTTAACAGGTTTGTAATTAACGGAGTGTCACTTGTATTTTAACAGACCATTGTTTGAGGGAGATAATGATTTCTGTGTATGCCTGAAAGAGTCTTTTCCAAACCTGAAAACCCGAAAATTAACAAGAGTGGAATGGGGAAAAATCAGACGATTAATGGGAAAACCACGAAGGTAAAAATAAATATATAATTTTATTTTACTTCATTTTTCTGAGGATTAATATTTTTTTCTTAATCGTTTCTGGATCATCTTACTAAAATATGGTTGCATTTCTTTTGAATATAGGTATCATTGAGAATAAAGCAACATGCCTTTACCTGTGTATGTATGAAATGGATATAGGAATTGTATTTTTTAAATTCCAAGTAAGTTATTTGAGTATGGCCAGCCCATACAATGCTGCCAAACCTACAGATCATTGGGCCCTTCCAAAACAGGATGAAAAAATAGTGGAATAATTCTCTCTCATGTTCCAGTGTTATCTTGTAATGGAACCCAAGCTATTTTCTACAGCACAACTTCTTAAATCTCTCCATATATGTGTATTTTCAGTTTTGAGTTTAACTATGATGTTAAACAGCAGCCAATGAAGTTAGACATTTTTAAATCAGAAGGTCCGAATAACTTGCATCCAAGAGTTTTAAAAGAGCTGGCTGTGGAACTTATTGGACCATTAATAATGTCTTGGAATACTGGGGAAGTTCCAGAAGACTGGAAGAAATCTTATGTTGTACCAATATTTAAAAAGGGTAAACGGGATGACCTGGGTAATTATCAGCCTATCAGTCTGACTTAGCTCCTGGGCAAAATAATGGAGTAGCTCATATGGGATTTGATTAATAAAAAATTAAAGGAAAGTAATATAATAAATGCCAATCAGCATGGGTTTATGGAAAATAGGTCTTGTCAAACTAACTTGATATTCTTTTTTTTTTTTTTTTTTGGTTGAGATTACAAGTTTGGTCGCTAAAGGTAATAGTATTGACGTAATAGTCTTAGATTTCTGTAAGGTATTTGATTTGGTACTGCATAACATTTGATTAAAAAACTATAATGACAGTTAAATGCTGGCTAACTGTTAGATCTCAAACATGGAAAAATGGGAAATCATCATTGAGCAGGTGTGTTTCTAGTGGGGTCCCACAAGTATCGGTGGTTGGCCCTATGCTATTTACCATTTTTATCAATGACCTGAAAGAAAACATAAAGTCATCACTGATGAAGTTTGCAGATGACAAAAAAATTGGGAGAGTGATAAATAACTGATACGGTGCAATCTGGATCACTTGGTAAGCTAAACGCAAGCAGATAACATGTTAAGGCTAACTGTAAATGTATACATCTAGGAACAAAGAATGCAGGTCATACTTACACATTGGGGACTCTATCCTGGAAAGCAGTAACTCTGTAAAAGATTTGGGCGTTGCAGGGGGTAATCGGGTAAACATGACTCCTCACTGTGATGCTGTGACCACAAGGGCTAATGTGATCCTTGGATGCATAAACATGGGAATCTTGAATAGGAAAACAGAGGTTCTTCAAGTGCTTGTTCATGTCAATTCCAATCAGGTGTGTGCACAGCAGCCACAAGAATTTTCCCCTGCAGCATCCGTCGGGTCAGTCCACACACCCCCTGGAGTGGCGCCTTCCTGGCACTCAATATAGGGCACTACCGACCCACCACCCCCAGTTCCTACTTACCGCCAGTGACGGTTAGCTGGAACTTCCCTTTGCTCTTGTTCTGACAAGCGCATTTAGCAGTCTGTATATAGTTAATCAGTTTTTCTAGTTAGCGTTAAGTAGTTAGTAGGTACTTTACTTAATTCTTACGTTTCCTTTGGGCGCGGGGGGGGGGGGGGGGTGGTTCCCCTCCACCACTATCCTGGCGCAAGGGTATGCTGCAGTCTCCTGGCTTCAAAGCCTGTAAAGTCTGTGGCAAGTGTATGCCCAGAAGCGATCCTCACACTTCATGTTTGAAGTGTTTTGGGGAGAGCCATTAAAAGGATCACTGTAGGATCTACAGGGTGTTTCGCCCCAGGACACTGAAAGATAGAGATCAGCGCCTGAAGAGTCTACTAATGGAAGCAGCACTCTGGCCCAGTCTGACCCTGGATCGGCAGACCTGGCGCCACTTGCCTCCTCCTCAGTACACAGTGCCCCGGCACAGTCAGCACAGGGATCAGTACCAAGTAAAGACAAGGACTCTCGGCACCATCATGGCTCCACTCGCACCTTACATGCCACAGGCAAGGCACCAGTCTCAATCGCCAGTGCCGCAAAACAGGAGGCTGGAGAGGGGTCGTCTTCTCTCCTCCACCCTTCACCCCCCAGCTAGACCCAAGGAACTGGCCATCTGAGACCTGAGTCGGGCCACGCTACTTCGGCCCCACTGCCAGAGACAGTCGTGTTGAGTCCAGACCCTTCTCGCTCACCGAGGCCAAGCCGACAACTACACCTCCCGTCAACCCTGGAGGCATTCGAGGCAGCCCGGTACCTGCTCCAGCTCGTGGCACCATTCTCCCTGCCCAGATGGGATAGGTCACCGGCACCGGTCACTCCCCCAGCACTATCAAGGGGAAAACCCTCAATGATATCCTGGCATCTCATCCCTGGGGCACAGCTCCCCGGCACCAAAACAGCGTCAGCAGCCTCGTCAGTCCCCGAGCCCTCAGCGCAGACTCTCGGCACCTTGAAGTACCACTCCTCCGTGGTCCTCCTTTTTGGAGACGTCAGAGTTGGACTCCTACCGATCTCGTAGGAGCAGAAGCAGGTGGTCCAGGTCATCATGAGACCTGCAACCTTACTTGGCACTGTGGCCCACATAGCGACAGCCCCCAGCACAGTGGCCCTTTTGGACTCCCTGGACTTTTCACCAAGCCCAAGGGCGGAGCCAAGGATCGCATTCCAGGGCGGCTCGGTGGCCTGAGCCACTTTCGTACCGCCTCCGGCACCGTTGGCATCGGCAGGATTGGGGGTAGATCCATCGTTCCCTGACGCCACCATCCCAACCCCTGCAGCATCAGCGCCAACGACTTGGCACCAACAACAGCCTTGACATCATCGGTTCCAGCTTCAGCAACCTTGGCACCGAGGGCACGGCACCATTCGCGTCCGCTCCAGTCCAGGATCCCCAAGTGCCACGGGACCCCTTGGGCGTGGAGGGAAGAGAGCAGCCACTCCATGCAGAGGTCTCTTCCTCTTCTTCTCTGGATGAGGCGTTGACGGGCACTTCAGTAGCCCCGACCCCGGAGGACAACAGGGTCCTACAGCAATTGCTGAGGAGGGCTGCCCAGAGCCTTGGCATTTAGGCGGAGGAAGTAGTGGAGGACGCAGATCCAAAGGTGGATATTCTCATCCCCTCTGGACCTGCACGTATTGTGCTACCCCTCATAAAGACCATTGCCGACACCACAAAAACCTTGTGGCAGACCCCAGCTCTGTTGCTCCCTACGGCTAAGCACAATAAAAGATGCTATTTTGTGCCATCCAGGGGCTATGAGCACTTGTATACCTATCCTCCACCAGATTCCCTGGTTGTGGATTCTGCTAACCAACGCGAGCGCTAGGCTACCAAGGCCCCTCCCCAAAGAATCGGGAGGCGAAACAACTCGACCTTTTTAGGGAGAAATGTCTACTTCACTAGCGGCTTGCAGCTCCGCATTTCTAATCAGCAGGTACTGCTACAATACATGCGGGGCAATGGCTAAGTTCGCAGAGCTGCTGCCACAGGACTCCCACACTGAATTCTTGGCTCTGGTTGAGGAGGGCAAGTTCATCTCCCGAGCTTCACTGCAGGCCGCTCTGGATGGGGCTGATGCAGCTATTCGGGTGATGGCTACCGGGGTTGTTATGAGACAGGGTTCCTGGACAAGTCCTCCTTGGCAGCAGGAAACCCTCCACCAGGGCTACCTACCTTGCCAAGTGGAAGAGATTATCAATCTGGCTGACACAGCATCTTTCGTCCTCGACGCTCGCCTCTATGCCACTCATACTGGACTACCGTCTTCACTTCAAGCAGCAAGGACTGTCCATGTCATCAGTAAGGGTTCAGTTGGCTGCCATCTCTGCCTTCCATCCAGGTGCAGAGGGCCAGTCGGTCTTTGCCAACCGTATGGTCAGCCATTTCCTGAAAGGTCTCGACAGGCTATACCCACATGTCCGACAACTGGGGGTGGCGGTTTGGTAGGGCCCTATTTTGAGCACCAGGAAGGCGCCATTCCAGGGAGCGCCCAGACCAACCCAACAGATACTGCTAGGGGGGAAATTTTCCAGCTGCCGTGCACATGTGCACGCACACACCTGGTTGGAATGGACATGGACAACACATCTCGGAGAACAACAGTTACAGGAAGGTGAGTAACAGTTTTTTATTTTACTGCTATATTTGGTACTGATGCAACTGCTGCTGGAATACTGTGTCCAGTTCTGGTGTCCACAATGCAAGAAGGATGTTGATAAGTTGGAGAGGGTTCAGAAAAGAGCCACAAGAATGAGTAAAAGATTAGAAATTTGCCTTCTAGTGATTGAGCTCTTTGAGTCTATCTGTTTAGCTTAACAAAGATAAAGTTATGGGGTGATTGATTATAGTCTATAAATACCTACATGGGGAACAAAAATTTGATAATGGTCTCTTCAGTCTAGCACACACTCCAAAGGCTGGAAGTTAAAGCTAGACAAGTTCAGACTGGAAAAAATGAGTAAATATTTAACTGTGAGGGTATTTAACCACTGGAACAGTTTTTAGCAAAGATCGTGGTGTATTTTCCATTACTGGCAATTTTAAAATCAATATTGGATGTTTCTCTAAATATGTTCTAAGAATTAATTAGAGAATTCTATGGGCCTATATTATACAGGAGGTCAGACTAGATGATCACAATGGTCCCATCTGGCCTTGGAGTCTATAAATATATAGTTTTACTTTACTTGTATTATAGATGTTCTTCTGCATTCTTTGAGGAGGAGAGGTCAGCATTAAAACAGAAACGGCAGAAAATCCGACTTTTACAACAGCGGAAAGTTGCAGATATTTCACAATTTAAGGATCTTCCAGATGAAATTCCATTACCACTTGTTATAGGAACAAAAGTTACAGGTAATTTTAAAAACAAATATTTTTGCAAATATATCAGTAAATACTGCCCACTAACACATATCTCAGATAAGTTAATTATTTCATTTTTTGAATGAAGATTTTATGTTTTTACCTTTCTTAATTCACTGTGGGAAGTTTTGAGAATTAGTTAATGTTTCTAAAGAAGTAGCATGGTTTGAAGATGTAAACATCCATATAACTAATAATTTTATTACTACTACTATGTCAGTTGTAAGTGATCTAATTTATTAAAAATCCAGACAGTTCATCATATCCTGAAAAGACAACAGTTTAAATACTTATAGCTCTGCAGTCCCTAATCTGGACCTTTAAACATTAAATCTTAAACAATCCATTACTAGGTGTCATTGTCCAAACGTTAACTCTTGTTGAAGAGCAGACGCACAAGCACCAATATAACGACCTTGGGAGGCGTTCGCATAAACATCTACAAAGCTACTTCATTATCTACCTTCAGATCCCTCTTCAAAACTCTCCTTTGCCATGATACCTACAAAAATTTGACAATGGTTAGGCTGCTGGTGTGCAGAGACCGTCTATCATGCTGACCAGTATTGTTTCCTTGTACTCCATGGTCAGTCTGTTTGTATCCATCTGTTGTCTCTTGTCTTACACTTAAATTGTAAGCTCCTTGGGGCAGGGAACATCTTTTTGTTCTTTGTTTGTACAGCACCTAGCACAATGGGGTCCTGGTCCAGGAGTAGGTCTCCTAGGCGCTATAGCAATACAAATAATAAATAAAAACAAAAATAACATCACAGTAGCCATTTCCATAGTCTCCTGTAACTCCATACTGGAGCTGTTTGCTCCCTAGTGCTTACATAATAACTTAACACAATTCTTAATTTTCACTTAATACATTGTTATCAGTGGCAGTGAGCAAAGGGGCAGAAGGGATAGCTCAGTGGTTTGAGCATTGGCCTGCTAAACCCGGGGTTGTGAGCTCAATCCTTGAGGGGGCCATTTAGGGATCAGGGCAAAAAACTGTCTGGGGATTGGTCCTGCTTTGAGCAGGGGGTTGGACTAGATGACCTCCGGAGGTCCCTTCCAACCCTGATATTCTAAAAAAAAAAAAAAAAGAATTAGTGTTCTAAAACTTTTAGAAATCAATTTTTTCTATAAAATCAAAGTAGTAGATGGTACTGGTTATGAAGCAAAAATTCTTTTCAAATTGATTCCTGTGGTGATGATTGTGTTTTTTAAATATTACATTTGACCTGTAAAGATAAATTATGATTAAAGCTTGACAGTGATTGAGTTTACAGTGTTTTTCGTTAATGTGTACGTGTTGTACTGAATATGCCATCCGAGGTATTCTGTATATTGCCAGTGCTTACTTGCAAAAGACTTCTTAACATCGATCTTCCTCAAATAAATATTTTTGATATTTGTTTTTCCTTTCTTAGCACGGTTGCGTGGTGTCCATGATGGACTGTTCACTGGACAGATAGATGCTGTAGACACACTTAATGCTACTTACAGAGTAACTTTTGACAGGACAGGGCTTGGAACACATACAGTCCCAGATTATGAAGTTCTTGTAAGTATTATTTACCCATTTGTGAAACTAGCTGGAATGTAAAATGATTTTTTCCAAAATATGCCAATTTGTATATTTAAATTAAGCCAAAGATGGTACAGGAATAAAATCCAGATGCTGTTAGCCATAAATAAAGAAAGACACACCAAACGCATAGAAAATTACCATTAAAGTATCTTTTTGTAAATAAATTCTTGCTATTTTAATATCTTTATTGAGAGTTGCACAGATATATTTGAGGGGAGAATTTGATCTTTAATATAATTTCAGGTTCCCCGTTTCCCTGCTGTCTGTCTTATGGCTGTCCTTGCCCAGGGAGATGTGCACAAACCTTCAGGTTGAGACAGTTGTATGTAAAGGCTTTAACCTTGACCTGCATTGAAGGTCAACAGTTTTTCCTTTAAACTTCCTCGTACCCCGTTGTAATAGGGCACTGGGCCATGGGGCAGATGCTTGCATCCCAGTATACCTGTTACAGTCCTTAGGTCCTTTAAGACCAGGCATTCCGGTCTGAACATACCGTAGTCATATGACCATGAATCAGGTGATCACATTTGGGAACTATGGGTTATCCTAAGCTCAGTAGGAAACAAAATAAGGGTTACAATCATGAGCGGCGGGTACAATAGGCATGGGGAGGCTCGTGATGCAGCAACCGTGGACCCCGCTGCCGGACACCTGGGCCATGGTGGCCCTGCCTGCACTCCCCATCTTCCCCCTACCTGCTCCGCCTCTTCCTTGAAGCCGCCACTGCCTTATGAGTCACTCCTTTCCTCCACCCTCCTCCCCTGTGAGATCCCCCCCCCCCGACCTCACCACATCCCTTATCCACCCCACACCCCTGCAAGACACACACACACACCCCGCCGCCATCCACTCCGTCCCTCCACTTCCCTCCCCCATGAGGCTGCCCACTGCATCCCTCCTCACCCCCATCTTCCTGGAGCTTGATGCTCCGGCCAGTGCTTGGGCAGGCCTGGGGGTTGGGCCGCGGCAGTTCAGCTGGGGCACCTCCAGCCACAGGGAGGGGGTGGGCCTCTGAGCTCGGGCCTGGGGTGGAAGGGGTGGAGCCGGGGCTAGCCTCCCTGAAGGGGGGTTTCACCCATCACCCATGGTTACAATAAAACCTCAAAGGGAGTTCTTCCATGGGATTCTGGCAGATATCCTAGGGGAAAGGCTACACAGTGGGAAGGCTCTTTCCTGTCCTGTCCTCTCCCAACTTGCTGAAAACTGGAAATGCCTCTGATGACTGGGACCAAGTGTTATAAAGTTGTTTCGCTCTTGTTTCAGATCCTTTTATCACAATAAAAGTGCCTTGGACTGAAATGTAATTCAGGGGTTATCTTACCTTACCTGACTGGTGTACCTGCAATTAAAGGAATTTTCCTGCCTTATGAGTTGATCTAGACTAGATTGTAAGATCTTTAGAGCAGGGACCATGTTTTTCTTTGTATCTTCTAAAGTGTCAAACACAACTGTAGGTGTTTAACAACAGATCAGGTTCTGTTCTGGCAGTCTTGAGCATCTTCCTACTTGTTTCCAGTGTTGATCTACGACTGCTCCAATGAGGAAAGTGGAGCATCCTTTCAAAGTATTATTGCATTCCCTGATGCAGTGCCACATATCCCCTTTTATTGGGAAGGAAAGGTTATCTATGTGATGTTCTCCATCCATTGTAGCCTGGAAGCAAAGGATTGAGGGAAGGGAGTATCTTAAGCTTGATCTTTCTAAAGCAGTGTATTACATTAATGCTAGCCTACCAACCCTCTTAACATGTTTTAGTCTGAAATATAAATCCATGGGTTTGTGATGTTCAAGAGGTGTGTAAAACTTTTAGTCTCTTTAAAGTCACCCTGGAATAGTTGTTTCTTCCTTTTTCTATCTTAACAGAGCAATGAGCCTCATGAAACTATGCCAATTACTGCTTTTGGACAAAAACAACGGCCTTCTAGATTCTTCATGACCCCTCCTCGATTACACTACACACCTTCTCTCCAGTCTCCAATTACAGTAAGTAATATGTACCAGAAAATGTCATTGCTTAATAATTCAATGTTATGAAACATTAATATAGTAATTCAGTATATTATTGAAATGAATTACCTGAGGATATTTAACAAGATAAACGTTTTTGTTTGTTTGTTTGTTTTTTAATCTTTCTAGAAATAAGTTGTTAAATGCAACTTTCTTTCTTGTATAGGACAGTGATCCTTTATTAGGACAATCCTCTTGGAAAAACAAAATTTCAGGCTCAGATAGCGAAACACTAGGTGGTTTTCCAGTAGAATTTCTTATCCAAGTGGTGAGTGTTAACTGCTCTTCTTTTAATTGTATGTGCATTGGCCTTTTTACATCTATTGTGTCGAACTCTTATGTAGTTAACTCACACTAGATACTAATTCATAAGAGGCTTGCTAATATCAAAAAGGAACTTGTCATGAATTATTAGTCAAAATCTTTGTTTTGACATGTTGATGCGTTTTTTTCCTATATGTAGAACTTCTTTGTAAGTACTGTTTTGTCAGTTACTGCTTTTTAAGATTTTAATTTTCACATTGCATGGTATTGATATATCCTTTTTTTTTAAAAAGTATTCGACACATCCCATCCACTAAGCCAGGGCAACTAGTAGGATGTCCTGCTCACTTTGAGAACAAGAAAGGCAGCTCTGCAGTCCCAAAATCAAAGGGAGTTGAAAAAGATACATCTAAACCAAACACTTCCTATCGCTCAAGATATAAATTCTAGTGTTCCAAATCTATCTTTATCCTCCTCTTATGTGTTTGAAGATAATAATTTAGCTTATTCTGAGAATGTGTTCAGCGAAGTGTGAAAATGTAATACTGGGAAGTGGAGATCCAGGAAGCACAGAAACTAATCTAAGCAAGTTGTTTTTCTAGATAACAAAACAATATCATTAGTAAGGTCAACTTTGTAATGAAAGAAGTTAAATTCCATTATAATTTTTGCAAAAACTAGCATAAAGCAGAATCAAAACAGGTTATTCTCGAATAAGAACTGCAGGATGTTCTGACAACGTTCTTAAAGATTACATAACTGATTAAAGAACTGAATTTTATCTTCAATTCATATAAAATATATTTCTGTTTTGGCCATTCCACTTATGGTGCATATTACTTGCAGTAAATACTGCTTGTCAGAGAGCTTAATAAAACTGATTAATTAAGGCAGGGGTTCTAAACCTTTTTCTTTCTGAGACAACCCCACCCCCCACCTGCTATTAAAAGCTCCAGGGCCCAGCAGGGATGGGGCCTCAGGCATAGGCGTAGTTTGACATCTATTTTGGGAGAGCAGGAGCCAGTGGGGCTCAAGCCAGCTCAGCACAGCGGGGTCCAGGGAGGGAATGCCACCTCCACCCCCTAACTCACCTCAGCTTTTCCGGAGGGGGGAGGGGAGGAGGGGAACCAAAAATTATAACTCAAAGGTGGGGGGCTTAACTCAAAAAGTTTGAAAACAACTTATGGAGGGGAGTAGCTAGTGGCTGTGTGCCAGGAGGGCTCCCCTGCAGTTCCTGTTCCCCGAGGGCTCTGCCAGCCATGGAGCCGGATCCTTCAGCCCAGGAGGCACTTACCGGCTGTGTGAGAAAAGGGGGTTGGGAGCTGAGGAGCAGCTTCAACCCGGGGCACCAACAGGAGACAAGGAAATGCTGCAGCTGCCTGCCCTGCTCCATGGCACCAGCCAGAGCAGCAGCTGCCCCGCACTCACTGCCCAGCTCCAGCTTCCTGACTCTGACCTGGCCAGGGGGCAGGGAAAGAAGGAGATGTGGGGGCAAGGTGTGGCGCTGCCCCCGGGACTATCCTACTCTTGTGCTGCAGTTTGGTGGGGGGAGGGGGCAGCGCCCTTCATGTCCCCAACTCTGCCCATGGGCTCAGGGCTTCTGCCCCACAGAGAGCACCAGGGCTCGGGGCTCCGGGATTCAGCCCCCTGCCTCCTGGCTTCAGCCCTATGGGGGGTTCCAGGGATCGGGGCTTTAGCCTCGTGCCTCCTGGCTTCAGCCCTGTGGGGGGCCCCAGGGATCGGGGCTTCAGCTTCGGACTTCAGCCTTGGTGGGGGTGCTGGGCTCAGGCTCTAGGTTTCAGCCACGGAGCCCTGTGGCCCCCTTGAAAGAGATCGTGGACCCCCATGGGGCCACAGACCCCCAGTTAAGAACCACTGGATTAAGGGAAACATAATGGCCAAAAATAGTAAGAAGTAGGGTAAGATAGTGTTTAGTAAGGTCAAGAACATTACATTAAATACAATTACAGTAAAAATAAGGCACTGATATATGAAGATTCATTAATTGCAAGGCATGATATTTGTTTCTATTGCTACACTTGATCTGAGAGTTATCCTCTCAGTCTGATTCGTCAACGTGTGCTAGGGAGAATGATCTGCAAAACTGTGATAAGACCAAACTGACCAGGAAACTGAAGAGCCGATAAAACTCAGTTACCCAATCATGGTTGATTTGTGTGGTGTTGATACTGTATTTTAAATCAGAAAACTTTCAAATTTCAACTTATATTTGGTTATATTCACCTATTCACATTAAGTAATCTGACAGGTTTCAGAGTAGCAGCCGTGTTAGTCTGTATCCACAAAAAGAAGAACAGGAGTACTTGTGGCACCTTAGAGACTAACAAATTTATTAGAGCATAAGCTTTCGTGGACTACAGCCCACTTCTTTGGATGCATATAGAATGTCCATTCTATATGCATCCAAAG